TCGGCAGCGGGTGAACGTGACGGTGCGGAGCGGGCTGCCCATGGTGGTGTCGGGCTCGGCCGAGCCCTGCGCTCAGCTTCACGTCTCCTCCATCGGCGTGGTGGGCACGGCGGAGCAGAACCAGCGGCACAGCGCCCGCTTCTTCGACTTCCTGACGGCGCAGCTGGGCCTGGGCCCCGAGCGGTGAGTGCGGGACACCGAGCCCGCCCGGGGGGCCGGGACACCGAGCCTGCCCCCGGGGCGGGGAGAGGGAGCGGCTCTTTTGCCACGGGTGTGCGCTGGATCAATGTATGGGACACAGCAAACAAGGACAAAGTGATGGTGATGATGTAGGTTTCCAGGTCCTCCCTGAGATTCAGGTGTAATCTAGATCTAAGATCACATCACAAACTTTTAAGTGTTCTTGGGTGCTGAACCCCAGACACGTGGTTTAGGTCTAAATAAAACTGGTTTGCACTCATTGAACAGTCTGGGAACACTTACTCTCTGAAGGTGAGTAGTTCCAGTTGGTGTAATTGCTGCAAAACCCCCTGGGTGTTGGTGGAGCTTCACAGTGGGTCACCATGCCAAATGTGGGGACAAGGCTGTTCCTGAAGGTAAATCTTGTCTCCCTCTGCCCATCTTCCCCATCTGCCCAAGGAGAGTAATAGCATTTCCCTGCCTCTTGGGTGCTGTCAGGGTAAACACCCAACAAGCTGATGAGCTGCTTGGGTCCTTCTGAAATGGACAAGTATCTTGTAAGAAGTGTGTTGAAATCCAGTCTACTTTTCAGTGTGTGTGGGAGAAGCCTGGCACCTGTTTGTACCCTACTCCTACCCAGCTTATTTTTGATTCTGTTAAATTAACACCGTGAAGTGTGAGCCAGCAAGAGCCTAGTGCAGATTTTCTGCCTTGCTGCAGACTGGGCAGGGATAATATTTAATCATTAAATAATGTTTCCTGACCACTTCATTTTCACTGTTATACCCAAAAAGGATCGTCATCCGCTTTTACCCGCTGGAGCCTTGGCAGATTGGCAAGAACAGAACAGTCATGACGTTCCTGTGATCCCTTGAGCAGCCAGTTGGAACAAAGCAATGATGAAGACAACCTAGAGATGACCAGTTCTGTCCACTTGTTTCTTCTTATGATCAAATCTCTGTAGTTCTGTACCCTCACCTGTATGATTCACTTTTGTCTTTTCATCCCCTGCACACAAAGCCAAAGAGTGGGGCAATCAGCTGTACTGATTTCATTAAAATAGTTCAAGGTCTGTGTCTCACTCCTGTGTTGTAGCCCAGAGCCTCTCCTGGTGCCTGTGGCTAAGCCACTGCAGGTTGGTGATGGCCATATGTGGGCTGTGAAACTGCTCTCTTGTAGCAGCAGAAACTTCAATTCCAGAACACATTTGGCAGTATTGAGGACCAGAGAGGTTCTTGGGTTCATCCAGATTTCCTCCTACTTTGCAAGGCAGAAAGATCCTTCTGTTTCTCTCTGGCAGCAGAAGAGTGACAGGCTGGCCAAGAAGAACAGGGAGTCGCTTTCTCTTTTCAGGCTCTTCAAATGCCCTTTCTGGAAAGGGATGGAATTACTGGGAGGGAAGTTTGTGCATTTGTATAACTATTTAAGGCTCATGTCAGATCTTGTGCTCTCTGCTCTTCCACTGGCTGCTCTTACAAAGTTGTATTTGTCCACAAGCTTTTCATGGCTGAACGTTCAGGTGCCAGTGGCAGCGTGTAGGGGAGGGAGTTGCTTGTGGAGGATTGCACTGTGCCAAGGGGAAATACTTTGAAGGTTCTGCTACTGCCAGCTTCAATTCCTGTTGTCCTCCTAGTTGCTAAAAATTGTTTTCCTTACGCCACTGTTACAGAGGGTTTTGGGTTGCAGCATCTCACTGTGTTCTGTGGATGGTGTTTTCAGCTCACTGTTCCTGCAGGGAATTTTTTTGGGTTTTTAGGGCCCATATTCTCTCTCAGTCTATAACTGGAATACACCTGGCATTTTGTTTTCCCACTTTGGTACTTGGTCTGGTCATAGTCAGGGAGCTCTGAGGGTCTGAGAGCATGTCCTTGGGACATGGAAGTCCGTGGGAATGCAAGGCTGGAGGGTGCTTCTGCTCTCCTTTTAGTTGTATTTGTTTATGACTTGAGGTTTCAAGATAGTTGAAGTGTTCCTTCTAATTATCCTTTGAAGTTGGTTGTTCCCTTTTCAGCATAATTGTCTTCTATGTTTGCATAATCTGTCAGAAATATAATACTGAACACAAATATGTGCGTCAGTCAGAGGGGCTACACCTCATCTGGTTAATAAAATGTTTCAAAGCCTCTTTTGGTAAATGTGAGTTCATTGGCTTCCAACATTGGGTTTTGTAGCTCTTGGTGCTTGCCAACAGGTATCTTGGCTGCCCAGGTCTCTGCACTTTCTCAGGAGGTCTCTTAATCTAAAAGTTTTTGGAACTCGGGAAACGAACAGGTAGGTGAGCTGAGTCAGACACACATGCAAAGGCAGCAAATAATGTTGCTTTGATTCAGATCTGCAGATCCTGCATTTCCTGGAGGTTCTTCTACCCTGTGAAGAACAGGCACAAACACTTGGCAAAGCTTTAGATTCATTTAGGGAAATCCTGCTCTGCCCTGTGCCCCAGCTCTCCTGTGACTTCCCCTCACCCTTGGCTGCTCCCCATGGGGGTTCTGGCCTGGGATTGAATTTTCCAGCAGCTCAGAGCTGAGCAGGAAGAGACACAGGAAGGAAAGCTTAGGAAAGAGTCCGGTGTGCAAAGATGGCTGAATAAAATGGTCCTCAGTGTGATTTTCCCACACGTTTCCCAGTTGTGTCTGCATCCTGGTGTTATCTGACAAAATGTCCTAGAATAACACAAGATCACAGTGAAAGTGCAGGGTCAAGGACCATCTTGAGAATTTTATGGTTCATGGACTTTGAGCTTCTTTTGTAAGAGCAGTTAAAGTATTAATCAAAGGATCACTGGTTATGAAGTGATCACCAGCCTGTTTTTCCTCCACTGAGCTAATGTTGGTGTAGGTTGGGACAGTATTTTAGGGCTCAAGCAAGGACACCCTGCAAAGGGCTTATGCAGCCACCTGAAACCTGCCCTGGGGCGCACACACAGAAATCAACAGAAGCAGGAAACATTTTCTCACACCTCTGTTGCTTCTGTTTCCTAGACACACCACTCTTATCTCAGCAATAATGTTATAAAATCCCTTTCCCTAGAATGCTCAGCGCAGATTGTCCCTCTTCCATAGGATGGCACCTGGGATTCAATACCCCAGCTAGAGATCTTTCTACTCTTGTACTGACTCTGTAATTTCCCAGGCTTAGCCTCCTATGGTGAACTAATGATTCTGCTCCCAGAAATGGCCTCTCTTGGTTTGTTTGAGAACCCTGTGTAGGCATATTTGCAAAATCAAAGGTAATGACCCGATTTTGAGCACAGTGTAACCATTGCCTAGCTTCAAGGCACTGAAGTGAGGACAACCTTTGTATTTACACAGGAGAGGACAATCAGGGCCCTGAGCAGCTGCAGGGCACTGCTGACAGCTGGGTGCTGCAGAACCACGATGGCTTTGAAAGTTACCCTATAAGCACGATGGGGTGGTGCTGCTGTTCATGGCAACCCTGTTCTTAGTCGTGATGAAAAGACAGGCATTATTTTCTCCCACAAACAGGACCCTGGAGTTTATATATTCAAGGTGAAGAGAACTTTCAGTGCCAAATGCTGATTCCATTAAACCCTTGAGCACTGGCTTAACGTCAGCAGCGTGATGTGACCTGTGGTAACCAGGGGTGGCTTTAAACATGGAACTATAACCCACAGATGCAGCAAAGGATATATATAAATAAAAAGTACAGCCAGCAGGTCAAGGGAGGTGATTCTGCCCCTCTGCTCTGCTCAGGGCACATCTGTAATACTGTGTACAGCCCTAGAGCCCTCAGCATAGCAAAGATACAGACCTGCTGGAGAGGGTCCAGAGAAGGGCCACAGAGATGATCCAAGGGCAGGAGCAGCTCTGCAATGGAGACAGGCTGAGGGAGTTGGGGCTGTTCGGCCCGGAGAAGAGAAGGCTCTGGGGAGACCCTAGAGCACTTTGCAGTACCTGAAGGGGCTACAGGAAAGCTGGGGAGGGGCTTTTCACCAGAGAGGGCAGCGATAGGATGAGGGGTAATGGTTTTAAACTGAAAGAGGGGAGATTTAGGTTAGACATCAGGAAGAAATTCTTCCCCACGAGGGCAGTAAGGTGCTGGAATAGGTTGCCCAGGGACAACCCCACACAAGGACACCCCAGCCCCTCAGCTCCAGGTGAGACGCCCCTTCCCGCCTCCTCCTCCCCAGCGCTCCCATTGGCTGCCCAAGGAGCTGCTGCTCGACCAATGAGCAGCCTG